GATCTCAAATCTTGTAATCGAGTTCATACTTGAGTTTACATAACCAGATCTGCTAAACTGAAAGACTGAATTTGAAAACTTTCTATATGAAATATTTTTTGTGGTCTCTCCTTTACTAATGATCTAAGAAACGAGCTCTATTTTACATAAGCATGAAATATGCTGAAATTAGCAATTGTTATCAAGAAAAGAGAAAATGTATGACAATTCCAAAGTTTCAGTTTTCAACCTATTTTGATTTTTTGTTTCACATTTAATAAGCAACTTTGTTTCAAATCCTTTTATGTAAAATAGTTTTTAAAGCAGAATTCAAAGTTATTAATGAAGTTGAATTATAAAGTACATTTATTTATTGAATTTAGCCTAATTACAAATAATGAGAGACGAAAGTTCAAAATAATAACAAAGTAATTTGATGGCTATTATTCAAAAATTTAATTAATATATGAAAATGATAAATGATTTGTATTTAATAACATAGTAAATCGTTTAATGATAAATTTTCCCAATTAATTTATTGGTTAAAATATTCAATCTAGAATTTCAAGTTCTCAAATAAGCGATCAGTTGTAAATTATCCCCATCCACACTTTCTAAATATTTTATGGAATTTCTTATAAACTCAATTCTAAAAATTCATAATTATGATAAGTTGAATTTATTTGAAATTATTGAGAAAATTTATTAAAATTCAAATTGAATCAGTTTTTCAAAAGATTATAAACCCTTAAATATTTATTGTTAATTTTTTATTACATTATAATTTTCTGGATTTGTAAGACTTTATATGTAACATCAAAAATATATTAAAAATAAATTGATGATTGCTAAAAGTAAAAAATGCTTAGAAAATAATAAATAAATATGAATTATTTTCGATTACTTTATCAAATATAATGAAGTAAATAAGTTCTCAATTAATCCCTATTTTAAAAAAGGTAGATTAAGGCTTGATTCTTATTTATAATGACTATTAGTAAATAATTAATATTTAGCTGCTTATTCTTAGTTTAATCTGTTACATTTGAATTAAACTAATATCATCTATTTATTAGTACCTTTTACCCTTCTAATTTCTTCTTAAATTCAAAGCTTTTACTAATCACATTAATCATATTTAATTAAAAAATAAAGCTAGATTTTTTTGCTTCTTTGAGATAATCATTTAGAGAGAAGCATTGAAAACAAAAGAATCCAATATTTTGTAAATGCTAATGGGTATAGGCTATTGATGCATCTCAATTTCATATATACACAGGTTTCAAGTTTATCGAATATACTCTATATTCATAAATATATACCCAAATTGAGTGAGTCGAAGTTATCCTTTGAAAATATTTATTCTGCAAAATAAATTTTCTAAGACTGAATGATTTTGAAATTGATATTGTATTAACCTAACTTTTAATCGGATCTAAATATGCGATACTTGTTTTTATGAATTCATTTGCTCTACTTTTCATGATTTAATTGACATATTATAGAGATGCTTGTTGTTTGGAAGTAGATAATTTAGTCATGACTATCAAAGGTATGGAATAATTAATTCTTGAAATAATTGATTATTTTTGTTGTTTTCTTCTTTTGGGAATGTTGGAGATTAATCAAAGATTTAAACCAACATATAGCAATAATAAGAGGATGAGTAATGCATGAATAAAAGAATTAATGTTAAACAATAAATACAGCCAATAAATTAATTCACCAAACATTATTAAGGACAAATGGATTATTTAATTTTGTTAAATTTTCATAATTTTAAATTTATATTTTAGAACTAAATAAACCAGTATCAGTTTCTATTTTATTATGAATTGTATTTTTATTTTTATTGAGATTTTAGTTTTTTTTAAATTAAAAACTTCTAATTGATTATAAAACAATAAGAGAAATCCTTTGTAAAATGACCTGATAAATCTTAAATCAACTTAAATGAGAAAAAATAAAATTTACTTAAACATCCATCTATTGTATTTTTTTTTTGGACTTTTCTTTTGAATTTCTTAAAAATTAAGAGATTAATTTGAATTTACAAGAATCAAAATAGTCTGATAATTACTAAAATTCAATACTGCATACAGGTAAATCCGATCACTCTCTTTGCGAATCGAATCTAATTCCATTATTAAGTAATAATATGTAGTATTATAAGAAAAAGTTATTTGAAATATGTAAGTTTCATCAGAATAATAGATAACAAAGATAATTATTTAAGAATCATTTTTTTATCAAAATTCATTAAAGGAATATTGAATTTAACAAAAAGACTAAAGCAATTGTTATTTGAAATTGATAATTTTTATACAAAAAAATTCATTAAATAAATAAGCACCTTGACTAACTACATAATAATTAATGAATCGATAAAATTCATAAGGTAAAGATATTTTTCTTTGCTTTTTTAATTACTATCTATCAGCATTTTAGCATCGTTAACAATATTACAAATATTGAATAAAATTTAATAAATTTAGAAATATTAATTTTTCATTTAAACACTTAATTTAATATCTCTACTTTACATCTACTATGTAAATGTACACATGGATACAAATCTTTGGATGTATCAATATTGAGAGTCTAATAATAATAAATAGAAATTGATACAAATGATTGATTTGTGGATTACTTTGTCCATTTCACGTACTTCTTTTGAATATCCACTTCAACAATTATAATATCATTTGTTGAAAATGGAAATGCTATTTATTTATTATTTTTATCTTATTAATCATGATTATAACATTCACCATTATTATAAATATTATATGTTCTATTTTGATTCTATTAATATCATAAATATACCCTTATCCAATATCATAACAATAACCATAATTCCTACTCTACACAATATCCCTAAAACCAATTCCTATCATAATGCTAGATAATTCAATAATTTTAATAGCAAATTAGATCAGACCATTCTTAGGGATCATTTAATCACACATACAACATTACCAACCATATTAACTTGTTTCAATAAGTTTTCCATTTTAAGTAACTGAACAATTACTATTCTTATAAATTGTTGAGAATGTCAGTGATTAAGAGAATTACTAAACCTACTTCTAATAAAGCATTTACTTATACCAAACTTTATTATAATTATTTCAACATTTCCTCATTCTTCTCATTTTACTCTTAGCACATCTATAATTCTCCTTACTTCTCCTTAACTATAATTTCACATTAAGTTTCTATTAAAATACTTTGCTTAAAATTGAATAACCATATCACAAATGACAATTTACAAGCTTAGTATTAAGTAATTTAACAAAAAAAATATCCAAAAGTACAACAATTGTATAAGAATTTTAGTTTAGATTAGTCCAGAAATATATGTATTTTAATTCAATTAGCAGTATTAGTCACAAGCTTCAGAATTGAGTCTTTCTATTACTAAAAATTCAATTTATTTTGTTGGCT